CACACACACACACACACACACACACACACACACACACACACACACACACGGCGAGATAAGTGACGAAATGATGAAGATTAATAGAAAAGTGAAAAAAAGAGCCGACTCGATGAAAGCTCCCCCCCCGACGTCCTCACATCTCATAGTTTTGTTGACTGAACAGTTGTTGGTGAAGTGAATCACTCAGTCGGACCGATGTGGCTTCGAGAGGGTCAGATTTAAATAGCAAACTGTGTTTCTATACTCTACTTTTTCCTCACATGAATTCAATGATTGTACCAGAGACCGTTTTCTCAAAGCAGAAAAAATACTTTTCTCAAAGCCGAAAGCAAGTCTCAAGTCAGTCGAGACAAGTCGAGACAAATTCAAGTCTTGCCAGAACAAGTCTCTCAGGCCAAGCCCCAAGTCTAGTCAAAACCACTCACAAGTTAAGTCTCAAGTCTAGTCCCAAGTCATTTGGGACAGGTCTTAAGTCAAGCCCAAAGTTATTTAAGCCAAGTCCAAACAATAAAGACAAATTCAAGTCTTGCCCCAACAAGACTCTTAGGCCAAGCCCCAAGTCCAGTCCCAAATATGTTCAGACAAGTCAAATACGAAGTCTGTCCAAGCAAGTCTCAAGCAAATCGAGACATGTCTACGTCGACCTTACGTCTCGCCAAAACAAGTCAAACGTCAAGTTCCACAACCCTGAGGGTTCGTGAGAGTCAAGTCTTCACCAGTCAAGTCAGTTGCAAGTCTTTCGTGTCCCTGAATCGTCTTTTTTAAGTCCTAAACGTCAATTAAATATTCGACGTGCGTCGCCTTGTAATGTCTGCCTAGTGCTGTTTCAGATCAAAACTTCAGACCTGAGTGTTTTAAAGTCTCAAGCAGAGTAGTCAGGTCCTGATCAAGTGCAAAGTCCTCATTTTGGTAACTTAAGCCTGACTTGAGTCCTAAATCTACAGGCCTACAAGTATATAGTTAGGTAGTGTTTGTAATTACAGTTAAGGTTAAGGGATGAATGTAAACAAAGGAACACATTTGAGCTCATATGACTGAGGCTTGTTCCATTTCTTCAGGAGGAAAGACTGCTGACAATAAAAGCTAAAACCAGCCGGGAAACAAGAATAAAATTGAGCTGAGCACAACTTATCAGCTGTAGTCTGTACACCTCACATATGAGAGAGGGGTGAATGAGTTGACCGTGAGAAATGGATATATAAAAAACACCCACAGTCTTATCTTTGCTTTCGTAAGGTTTGAGATTGACAAGGTACAAGCGCCCGTGGAAGCCTGAGAAAATGAAGCCGTTTAAGGGAACAAGAACTAATAAAACACACGTTGTTTAACACAACAGAGGGAAATGAGATATTGAAAACATGGAGGCGAGAGAGAAACTGTGATGGATGGAAGACAGAAGGGGAAGTGGAGGAAACTCACACATGCTATACTGACACGCTTTAATGTGAGTTGGCAGACCGAAGCAGATCATAAAACAGAACAATCATTCAGATCAGTTCTTATCTGGGTCCAGTACGAGTTTCTGAAGGGCCACAGCAACATATCTGGACTGCTGATTCTACTAATTAACATGTTTGAACTTGTCAACTTTAATAGAAACTGTTTACGTGATATTCAATTAAAGAAATCAGATTGATTCTCTGCAGGATGGAGAAGCCTCTGAGACAATAAACTATGTTGTACTGAGAAAGACAGAGCCTTATATGGACAAAATAACCCTGCAGCTGGTCTGCAGACTGAGGTATTACAGCCTTTAACAGGCATTCTTCCTGTGCGTGGTAGAGAATCTGTACTACGCATAATAAAAAGGACCCAAACTGAAGATGGACCCAAATGGAGCCAAAATGCGCCATTCAGCGTTATAGCAGTTTAATGTGTCTGCACATCAAGAGTACACGATAATGTAAAGAAAGGTCGTTAGTGTGCTGATGCAAAAGAATGCAAAGTGATTTGTTCTAGGACAGAGCTGCCTGACTTTAAACTTCTGAACACAAAGAAAAGGAAAAAGAAGCAACGACTTCAACAACTATGTGAAAAAATAATGTGTTGTTGGATATATCCTCACAGTTACTCAGTCATTGTCCCGAGTCAGTCAAGACTAAACAGAGTAAGACTTGTCAAAGTGATCCAGACGTCAATAGACTAGTTCAAGTCTTGCGAGAACAAGTCTCTCACGTCAAGCCCCAAGTCATGAATGTAATATCAAGACAAGTCTGTAAAGATGTAAAGTCTCAAGACAAGTCCAAGTCTAGTCTAAACAAATCTCAGGTCAAGTCACAAGTTAGTTCAGACTGATATTGTCCAGACAAACAAAAAGATCTTTATTTTAAATTACAGTGGAAATCCCAAAGTTTCCAAGAACACGTTTTGTAGAAATGATGCAGCAGAATATTTACATTAGAACGGTGCAGCCATGAAGAACACAGCGTCTCGGGTTTGAATATTTCACTCAGCGTAAACATCAAAATAGCTTTAACAACCTACTTAAAGAGTAACTTCACCCGGTTTAACAATGCGGCTCCCCATGCAGACGAGTGGCATCGGCGTGTTTTGTTCCCCATCGGTGATGTGTTGTGGCACTGAGCTACATCAAAGCTGGGTGTGTTCACCAGCCCGACAGACCACAACCTGACCACACCCAGCTTTCTACCCACAGAGGACAATGAAGCCATGTTTTTACTCTGGTGTGGACTTATCCTCCAGGGAAAGCTGTACGATAAGGAGGTAAAGGTCTCTGCACAAATATGTAAAGTAGAACAAAGGATATAATGACAGCATACAACAGAAAACCCCAGAGAGTCTTTCAGTGCTTTGTAATAAAACGTCAATATGATCATCCAATGAAAAAGGGGGTTATAAGAAACAAGCAGTTCATTCTGGGGAGTCGGCGCTTTCCTCTTTTTAAATTGTATGTTTTCTACGATAGTACAGCGGCCGGTTGGAGAGCATGGGGTGACTTCTTGGCTCATGGGCGTCTGGAGTGCTTGCCCGTTGGGCTGATTGCGTGGCCTTGAGGCTCGCTTATAGCTCGTTGACTGCAGGAAGTGAAGAAGAGTCTGGTTGTATAGTAAGAACATCAAGCTTTAAAAGTGAACCGCGCTCAATGCGCTGCTGTCGGCCTGCTGCGGACGACATGTTTGACTTTGCGAAGCCCTGAAGCGCCGCCTCTGCTGCTAAACAGAGCTCTGTTTGTTTGAACGTGTCAACATTGCACCAACTTCAACACTGCACATCCTAGTGTCCCCAGCTACACACCCGCCCTGTGTGGAGTAGATCGGGTCTTGAGATATGTGAAGGACACACTTACTGACAGACGGAGATTCCCTGCTTTACAGTTAGCACCGAACTACCTGGGGCTGACGAGGCCAGCAGGGAACGCTCGTCGTCAAATAGGATGCACTCACAATCAAAAGTAGTCAGACATTTGTTGCTGCTGTACTTTCACCGTGTCCTCAGGCCCGGAGACGTTCAAAATCTGAAATACGAGACCCAAAGCTATGTTAGATGCCTCCCAGAATCACGATGGACGAGAAAATGCGGACGCAAGATCGGACATGTTGTTGAGAATCTGCCCTGAACACCTTATAATGTGTGTTTGTGTATAAACAAAGGTCTCATTGTAATCCCTCATGCACTCAGGGTTGACATCTACTTAACTTGAAGCTCCTGTGTGTGTGTGTGTGTGTGTGTGTGCTCTCAGTCTATCTTTTATAAGAACCAGTTGGAGTTTTAGACCATGAAGTGAGGACATTCCTTCACGGGCAGAACTTCTTCAGAAAGGGCTTCTCGGGTTAAAGTAGTTAAGTTTGGCTAATTGTTCTTATTCCTTTGTTTCTTTGTCTTTTGTCTTGCTGTTATCATCTTGCCACAGTAGGACTATGTGGATGTTTTTGTGCATTAAAGCTTCAGAGTTCAAATTAAAGGTGAAAAGCAGCACAATAAGAGAGAGAGAGGTGTGTGTAGTGTCGGTAATTGGCTGATATGTGAGAAGAGTGTTTGCATGAGGGGCAGCAGGGTCTCAGCAAGAATTCATTTCTTAAAAACAGCCTGAAGCCTCCAATTAACCCCTTAACCCAACCCAACCCCCCCCCGCTCCACCACACATGCACAAAAACCACACAAGCAGCCGCCAAAAACAAACAGCCGACGGCATTCATGGGAACCCGGAAGATGATACGAACAATATGGGAAACGAGTGAAAGATAAAGTAGTTTGACGGGAAAAAAAAAGAAAAACGAGAATGAAAACAGAAACTTTTTGGAGATGAAAATATATATTTAAACGGAAAGATTTCAGAATAAAAGTCAGAGTAACCTGAAATTCGTCCTTACCTGTTCAGCGTTCAGGCCTTTTGATCTGATGACATCAACCACCTCCCTCTCCTGAAGGACACACACAACAGATCACTTACGTTATAAAACAGTTTGGGTCAGTAGAAGATGCATGTTGTATGTTGCAAATAGTCGGTCACAAGTAAAAGTAGACATATACCGTGTATATATAGACACTTGAAAGGCAGTACTTTGAAGTAACACACAGTGTCCTGGAGGTGATGTTGTGAACAGTCTGCTGTGGATCAGAAGTGAACGCCAGGCTTGTGGTCACAGAACAGTGACGGCAATGTTAATTAAACGTAATTAATTCACGCAAAAAAAAAAGTTGCCAGAAATCTTTTACTATCTATCAGAGAGAAAAGCATAATAAGTGGAATAATAACTAAAAAGTGGAGCTCTGCCCGAGTTTAAACAGACCCCTTCATCAGGCCGTGAATTAAACTAAAGGCATTTTAATTTGTGATAATAAGAGCAGAGAGCCTCCGTTAGTCTCTCCCAACGATAACGTTCATGCTCGCAGGCTCTGAAATAAAAGGAGATAAAGGAATCAATTTGGAGAGTAATCTTCATAATGAGACAACCAAACACACAGAAAGCTACAGACACTGCGAGCGCAGACTGAACAAAGAGCAGCTTAAATGTTGCTGAATAATGCTGCAGTGATGAAGCTCACAGGTACCTTCAAGTATATAAATGTGTAAAATACTTATACTCCGTCTGTCTCTGTCCACTAAAAAGAAAACAGCTTTGAGCTTTGTGACGATGCATTTTCGAGCTGAGTTTGTTTAGCTGAAGAAGAAGGAGGATTTCTCAACACAAAGGAAACACTTCATCCTTCAGCTCATCACAACATGACGACCCCGTCTCCTGCAGAATTACACATCATACAACCAAACTGCTCCCTTCATCGCTTTTCAATGGGAAACAGTCTCCTGGATGACGCTCAGCGTCGTTAATGGTATAAACTGAAACAAAACAAAACTTGACAAACTAATGTTTAGGCAACAAAAGTACTTGGTTCACACGGGACATGAACTTCAGTGGACTCATTTGAAACTTATTTGCGATACGTCAAAAACAAACATGATCCACGACACAATAGGCTTTCCTCTAAAACGTAATTCACAATGCAGTTCTGTTGTGCGGGAGCATCCTTTTTAAAGCAATATGTTGCTCTGAGATGTAGTGGAGTAGAAGTTTAAAGTGGCATGAAATCGGAAATACCAGTACAAGTACTTTGAAGTCACACTAAATACAGCACTTGAGTAAATGTACTTAGTTACTTTCCACCACTGCCAAACACAAATGAATGTCGCCTTTCACTTCGCATTGAAACAAGAAGCGAAGCAGCTAGTGAGGCGAGACTGTGTGTGTGTGTGTGTGTGTGTGTGTGTGTGAAGTTTGTTTGGCAGCACTTCTGACAGCGTTGAGGCCCTCGGTGCTATCCAACAGAATGGCCCGGTCTGTCTCCACTCTATCTCAAAGAACCATATGCTTTTGGATAGCAGAGCCCGACTCGTTCATGTGTGTGTGTGTGTGTGTGTGTGTTCGGTTGTTTTACACGTGAGTGGTGCGTCCATATGTTCGAGCATCTAACATCCCACATCTAAACATCCAGATGGCGAAGCATCAGTCGACACGATGTTTCCTCCCATCATGAGGAAGTAGCTTGAAAACCGTAAAAAGACGATGAATATTCATCACGCGGGCTTTGGGGAGCGACCGCAACGCTCGCTGGACGATTATGAGGCACTCATGATATACTACGAAAAAAAGCCCCGAAATAAGACTGAAGATCGGAATAAGAAGAGCTGTGGTTTAAGTAACCCAAAGAGATTCAAGTCAAGTTGAGAGGAATCAACAGTTTCTTAAAAACAGATTCATTTACTTTTGAAGTATTTATCAGATGGATTTATGTGGTGGAAGAAGTACTCAGATTTACTTGAGTAAAAGTACTAATACCACTTTGTTACGAGCAAAAGTCCTTCCTTTAAAATGTTACTGAAGTAAAAAAGTAAAATCAGGAATATGTTATATAACGTATCTAATGTCTTAAAACGTTCTTTGTGTCTGTTACACAGTTTCATGCAAACAGTCCTTTCAAAATAAACTTCCGTCTTCACAGGAAACAACTCAGTTAGGTTTAGGCAACAAAACTACTTAGTTAGTTTAAGGAAATATATAATAGTTTGAGTAAAAACACTGAAGTACGTCAGTGAGGCCGTAAAGTGTCGTCACAGCTCGCAGTATTAACCGACGAATATTAGTGAACTAATGAATATTAGTTAATAAGAGACACGGATGAGCGGCTAGTTAGCTAGAGAGGCTAACGTTAGCATGTCCTTGTCCAGAGCGTTCAGCACATCTCCTCCTGTAGCTAGCGCTAGTTAGCTTGCTAATCCCACCCTGCTTTAATGCTACACTGCTTACACAAAATGAGCTGAACAAAGTTGTCACTAATCAGGCGGTAGCAATGTGTTTTCCTACGCTGTGACAAGAAGTGAATTATTAACTAATTAATACTTTCATTAAAGATTAATCTGCTGATTATTTTCTCCATATATTTATTGTTTTATTTGTAAAAATAGTCAGATATTGCGTCAGAATCGCCCAAAAACCATCACAATGTTTGTTCAGTCCAAACCTCAACACTCTTTAAAGTTAAGACGAGGAGAGCTACTTCTTAACAAAGAAAATAACATGAGGATTCTCAGATTTACACGAGTTTTCACTACATTTTCGGAGGGTTATTGTGCATTCTTCTCTCAGCTCAGCCTCACTGACCTTTCTTATTTCCACTCTGCTTCTCTTCAATGAGATTCAACAAACTGGCCGTGAATCCGTAAATGGCAAGAAAGAGGCGAAAAGGCCGTGTGTGCATGTTATTTAGATTTGAAGAATAAACTTTTGACAAATATTGTGTGCAAAGTGAGTTTCCACGTATTATTAACATGATTTATAGTAGAATAAATGCAGATTTTTGGTTGAATTTGTATAGAAATGAAGCAGACGGAGGACGGACACACTCAGCAGGTCCAGATTGGAGACAGGAACACCCTCTGCTCTCCGTCTGACCTCTACGCCAGGAAAAAACTAAACACATACACACACCGTCTCTGTCGGTCTCTCACACTCTCTCTCACACACACACACACACACACACACACACACACACACACACACACACACACACAATGAGTCATGTGCCAAGAGAGGCGGTGGAACAACAGCAGCCCCGTCCAGAGACAAAGACCCAGCACTTCATCTGTGTGCATTTAAATGCAGAGACTGGAGCACAAAGTCAAGAGGGACGAACGGCGTGAACGAGAGATTCATCCTTAAAAGCTGAAGGGTTTGGATATAATTGGGGCGTTTAAATGGAATAATGTTTTAAGGGATTGTTCTGTGCACAGTTGCCGAGGGAAACAGTTGTGAGCTGTGTTAACATTTGTGAGATTCCCCAGGCTAAACCATTGTTTTCATGCACTGAGCAGTTTAGATGTTTTGGTCTATTTCACTTCCATAACACGTCTTGATTCAGACTAGTGGAAAGAAAACATCCAAAATACACATTTAGGTGTTTATTTATAACTTCGTCTGTTTGTGTCTCTAGATTTCTACTAAATTCACTAAAAAAGTTACCATTACATAATGCTTCATTTGCATATTTAAACATAGCGTTTCAGAAAACGTGTAATACAAAAAACATTTGTCTTAATGTCAGTAATGAAGTGGTGAAGTTTCATGGTGATATCTATGAGTTCATGTTCTGACCCTATTCACACTTGTTTCTGCCATTTTCTTTTGCTTGAAAATGCCCCAAAACACACAATTTGTTGCCAAACAAGTAACTAAGACACACATTAAAACTAAAAAATGAAATGTTTTCTTTTTCTAAGTTGAAGTCTTTTCAACCCCGAACATCTGCACTCTGGTGTGATGTTCGTGCAAACCTTGTTGTGAAGTCACGGGTTCGAAGGATGACATTACACTTTCAAACTGCTGACATCGCATTTCTCCACAGAACTCATTAATGAGAAACATGGCGGCTCCCCCTCACACCGATTGCCAGTTTCACACTCGCGCTTTCTCGCTTTCTCACACTTGACAACAACCTTTAGTGACGAATGCATCAGTGAGCACAAACGCTTCAGCCGCTCACGTGTGTGGATCAGGTTTGTGTTCAGGTCAGCGAACCTTGTGGCCTTTTTTTGGCAAGAAACGGTAGAAAAGAGCTGAGGCGTAAATAACGACATTAATGACGGCTTCAGGGTCCTGGTGTTGTGCATGATGTTCTCGCTGTCTGGGACGCTTGAATAGAAGGAGATAAAACTGATTCTGTGTCGTGAAAGCGCGCCGAACACACGGACAATCAACAGAAATATCTTTTCTGCTTCTTTTAGTTCGCAGCTCTCGTTCTCGGGATAAATATGGTGCACCTTTGCAAAGGTAGTTCTCAAGTCGTGGGCGGTTTATTGTAATAAGTCCACATGTGACGTAAGAAGGGGAGACCTAAAGAACTGACGGGGTTGTTTCATTTCAGTTTGTGGGTTGGTACCAAATGCACTGAAAAAGTGATTTTATCATAATTTGTCCACTTTAAATGATAATAGTTGACGGTTGACTTTATTAAGATTGACTTTATGTTGCACACGATGTCCTAAAAAACGATATTTTAATCATCTTTAAGACTAAAATGATAAATGTGTGTTCAAGAACCGCGAAGAAGATAAATGAGCTCTTCTGTCAAAACAGATAATGAATGTTAGAACAATGCTGCTGCTGAAACTATAAGTCCTTTTTAAACATGGGATTTTAAAATGTGTAAATGGCTGTGTGGACGTGTGCATTAGTATGTGTGTGTGTGTGTGTGGAGGCTTATTTGTGTAGGATTTTAAGCAATTAGGACAGGAAACAGAGGCGCTGTTGCTTTGGCTTCCCTGTGGAATCAAGTTATGCACTGTCAACACACACACACACCCCACACACACTTCTTGACCCATTTCTCAAACAACACACCACCGCTCTGTTTGCATCCCTCCATCCCC